TTGCTGTTGCCGGGGAAACCTCCACGCCCGTACAAGACAAATCAGCCACCTGAAACATTTTGCTGAACCACACCTTGGTCCCTGAAGCAAGGGGGACAAAGCCGGATCGCAAACTTGGTGCCTGTAGCCATAGCGTCTGCTGCAGCAGCTAGATGCACCTGTGGCGGAGACTGCAAACGATAGATCTGCGGAGGCAGTGACGCTCAATGCCTCCAAAACTCCAGAAACCGACGGATGCGTTTGAAAGTTGGTGTTTAACCGTTGCGGGGTCTGCAATGCGAACCCAAATGTTCTTGTTGGTCACGGGCCCAACAATAACTGCACATGTCTTGCCGAGCGAAGTCGAGCCCCCGCAGAATGGGCTGTCCCCGTCGGGGTCTGCAACCACAAAAAGCAGTCCAGTCCCCCGGGTCTACGCTGAAGAGCATGTTGAGCGGACTATTCACATCCGTGTAGAGGCAATGCAACCATGGCTTAACAACCCAAAACTGTTGAATTAGCCACTGGATGAGGCCAATGACCTTCTGCAGGTCCTTGCGCAGAACCGTCCGCGACCCAAGCAAAGCTTCCATTTCCGACCTCAGTCGATCCAGCTTGTCCTGAGGAATGGAGAAGCTTCCAGCCCGGAAATGGTAATTCCAACTAATCCATAAGACCAATGGTCCCAACTGCAGCTTCTTCCAGGAAATTGGAATGCCCAAAATGGCACAAAAGGCCAAGACCATGGAAGCCGTTGGCGGCAGGATAGGTGCGTCCTGAAATAAAAGCATATTACCCACGTACATCATCAAAGCATGCCGCAGATAGATGAGGTAGTGTAAAAATCGCACGAAAAATGAGAGAGCCGCTGAAACCAATAAGCACTGAATCCAGCGCCAAAATGGTACAAGAAAAAACCGGTCGTCCATGGTTAGGCCCAACAGGCCCGGCCCCACAGTCCCGAAAAGGAAGCTGACAAACCGAGCTCAAAGCCGGGAGCTGATAGCGGGCTATTGGTGTTGCAAACCGAGCTGTCCAAGACCGTGCGGGGCTTGCGATTGAGAGCTCGAACAATACCCAGGCGGCCAACCGCCACTTGCGCCCCGGATTGGCGGTGAGCAGATTTCCTCGAGGACCAATTCCCGAACCACATCAGGCGCTGCGGTTGCACTGGCCCAGTTGCTCAGACAAATCAAGGGTCCGCGTTTGGCTCCCATGACTGGCTGAAAAACAAAGCAGTTTGGGATGCCCTTCTGTGCCCCAGTAAGGACCCCTTGCAGGAGAGCTCCAAAAAGAGCTGTGTCCGGGCGCTTCACCAGACGACTGCGACTGCAACGCATGCAAAACATAAGGTTGGTGGTCAGGAATGGACCAATCTAAACAAACCAATGGAACGCATCTGCGCGATCTCTTTATCTGAGAAAAGCGCAACATCCCTGCTTTCAGACACCTGGGCACACAGCCGTTGAGGCAAACCATGCTGCAAGAGAAAGGGGGATAATTGCTTGCGAAGCGAGCCATGTGGGCCATCTGATGGTCCCTGTGGGACACTCCAGTCTGGACAAGATAAAACCCCGCCTCCATCTTGCACCGCCATGGGACTCGCGTCGCATGCCTTGCGCGGAATGCGGCTTAGAGCTCGGGTCGTGGCCCAGTCTAATCAGAAGTGACCGTCTGCCACGGAAACACAGAGGCAACTAGTTGAATGTAGCTGGTAGCCAGAAATTGCGTATCCCACGAATGGACTGGTGCGAGCCCAGTGTTGGAACGCACCATGATTTGCCGTCGTTGACATATGATTTTCATGACTTGCCATCATTGCACTCACGACAGGACCAGCCGGTCTCGCTCCAATTCCACGACGTGTCTGAAAACAGATGTATTTCTGGTCAAGCCCCATGTGTCTCAGATGGGTTGGCAAGACTATGGATGTCCGTGCACTGCCACAAGGTCTTGTCATAGTAATAGTAAGCACATGGCTCTGTTTGAGCAGAGTGTGGAGGGGGCCTTACACTAGATTGCAAACACAGCATGTGGCTTGTGACGCCGCATTCTCCCTGACTGACGCCTTACTCCGACCCTACATTCTCTGACGCCACATCCCTGGCTGACGCCGCACTCCCGGCTGACGCCGCATTCCGACGCCGCGTCCCCTTGCCCTGACGCCGCGTTCACCCCTGACGCCGCATTCCGACGCCACGTTCCCTGAAGCCGCGTTCCTGGCTCTTTCGCGGCCGCCCTGATTTAAGAAGAACAACGATAAGACAGAGACGATGAGGATTAAGATGATGATGCTAAGGGCAACTATCATCGTATCTCACCTGGCATGTAGGTGGCGCAAGCAGATGCTGATGATAACTACGATGATGAGGATGATAAGTATGCTAGCAATGACTCGGTGATGCTATCATCATAGCCCCCCCGGCGTTGCAAGCGGCGCAAGCAGACGACGAGGATAACCGCGATGAGACTGCTAGTAACACTGGCGATGGCTGGTGATGATGGCTAGGACGACGATGATGGCGATGATGATCATGATGATGGCCTCAACGCTAACTGTCGTCATCGTCGTCGCACCCTGTGCGTCGCAAGCGGACGAAGGTGATAGAGTCGACGACCAGGATAATGATGATACTGACCGCCTTGGTGAAAATTATCATCGTGGCACGCCTTGCGTCGCAGGCCGGGTCTAACACGACGCTCGACGAATTTCTCGAAGACAAGGGAAGAGACAATGGTGGCGGATGAGTATGATGACTATCCTCATAACATCACTCGCGATGCAAGTTGCATAAGGTTGTTCTGATAACAATGTCTCCGGTGAGAACTATCACCGTAGCACCCCTGCTGGCGTTGCAAGCAGACTATGACGATAACAAGGATGACGATACCTATCACCCTAGCGTCCCTTGCCTGGGCTGTGCTTTGTATTGTGCTTTTGTGCCTTGTTTTTGGCTGTTGCTTCTGTACTTGTTTTGCCTTGTTTTGTACTCGCGTTTCCCACACCATACCATGTCAATTCCGGAACACAGTTTTCAGCAAGCAGCAGGCGCAACGCCATAAGCCATCTGCAACGAATCAAAGCACGCAAAGCGAAATGAGCAAGCGCATGTCAGAGCCACGTTTGGGTTATCTATCACAGATGGTGTTGAACACAAAAAAAGCCCCCGCAAGTTTTTCCGGAAACGGTGCTGCCTAGGCGCTGTTAAGATGACGAGAGTGCTGCAAAAAAGGTGCCCCAGAAACGGTGTTGCAAAAGCGCTGTTATAAGATGACGAGGTGCTGTAAAAGTGCCCCAGAAAAAAGTGCTGCAAAAGCGGTGTTATAAGATGACGAGGTGCTGCAAAAGCGCCCCAGAAACGGTGCTGCAAAAGCGCTGTTATACGAAGACGAGGTGCTGCGGAAGTGCCCCAGAAACAGTGCTGCAAAAGCGCTGTTAGAAGATGACGAGGTGCTGCAAAAGCGCTCCAGAAACGGTGCTGCAAAAGCGCTGTTATACGAAGACGCATGCGCTTAATAAAGGTAAGAAAGATAAGACAGGGTGATGACTAGGACAGTGATGATGGTGGTAGCTTGTACGTGCGGGCGCGCGTGCGGGTGCATGAGAGCGCGTGCGGGCGTACGTGCGAGCGTCCTGTGCGCGCGGGCGTGCGTACGGGCTTACGCACGGGCCGCGCGGGCGTGAGCGCGGGCGTAGCGGCGTGCGCGCGGGCGCACGTACGGGCGGGCGTGCGGGCTCGCGGGTTTGCGCGCGGGTGTCTGCGCGGCTGGCACGCGTGCGGGCGTACGGCCGCCCGCAAAAAATGTCCTGTTTTGGAAAAATAAGGCCAAATTTTTGAAATGACTTCATTTGCGCAAATTAGGCCTGCTTTTTCTGGTCACGTGCGTGCATCCGTGTCCATCCGCAAGGACGCGCGTGCATAAAAATGCCCGCGCGCATGTACGTCCGCGCGCACATCCGTCCGCCAGCCCGCGCGTGTTTTTGTACACATGCACGCGCGTGCGTCCGTTCGCCTGCGCGCAATCCGTACACACGTCTGCGCGCCGCCCGTGCGTCCGAGCGCATGTCTGTAAATTCCGCACGCCGCCCGTGCGTCGGCGCGCGTGTGCGTACACGCGTCCGTTCACACGTGCTTCCCGCCCGCGCGGTCACACGGACAGGTTTTGTTCCATTGTATGAGCACACGTACTAAATCTAGCCAGAACAAAGATAAGAAAGATGAGAAACAGACGGTGATGGCCCAAACAAGTGGCGCAGGCAGACAGCGAAAGATGCAAAACACAAGAAAGAGAAAGCCGTGGCTGACTGGGACAATCGTAGCGTTCCTTGCGTAGCCAGTGGCGCAAGTAGACGCTGATGATAACCACAATGATGACGCTAATTATGATAGCAATGCCTCCGGTGACAACTATCTTCATAGCCTCCCTGGCGTTGCAAGCGGCGCAAGCAGGCAATGATGATAATTAATCACGACGGTGATGATGGTGAAAATGATGACAGCTTTTGATGGTGATGATGCCGGTGAATGACCGGCGTTGCAAGCCCGCCGGATTTAGATTTTTTACGCGTATCGCGGAAAGTGAAAGTGTATAACTATGCTGATGCTAGTAGTGACGATGGTGAGGACCCAGCAAGAACTAGGATAATGATGAAGATGATGATGACAACAGTAATGATTATGTCCACCACCCTTCCCGTGTTCCTCGCCTTTGCAGACAAGGGGCCGGCGGATATGCGGCGCACGTAGGGCCACCCATGGTGACCATGGTGCATGCTGCAGGCGTTTAGGGCGCTACATACCCCGGTTTCAACCAACCTTGGGCACCCAGTTTCCAACAGTCGTGGAAGTAGACAGGAGGCGTTTTCAAACGATGGCAGTCATGCAAAGCCCATTTGCCCGCTTCCATGGTTTTCGAGAAAACGGGGGGCTTGTGCCTGGGAATTCAATCCTTGGGTGCTTCAAAAACTTGCAGACCCATGTGTAGGTTTTGTTTCAACACATTCTTGGCAACCTGCGTAGGCTGCCAACGAGCTTGCGCTCATGGCGGACCTGCGGCATGTAGAGGTCGGGGCGTGCCATGGCCCCTTTCTAGGGCTGCGTGTGCTGGGAGGGGCACAAGATGTAAGAGTTCAGTCCATGTTTTGGCAACCGCACATTGTCGAACTGGAAATCCAATTTTTTGGGCACGAACAACACCAGTGTAGGGCCCAACGCGGAAGGCGGAAGGCGTTTTGCTTCTTCAGGTTTGCCCTCAGAACCACACCACCCCGCTCAATTTATTTGGAAACAAAACCCCGGGTTTTGCAATTGATAAATTTGTACGGGCTGCGCAGTTTCGCAGTTTCGTTGCAAGGCAGTGCTTGAGAAACTTTTGCGATACCGCGCAGCGGAGTTCCGGTCCAACCATACCCCATGCTCCAACCAAGGCAATGGCAATCTAAGCTGCAGAAACGGCCAATGGCAAACCCAGAAAAGTCAGATTGGGTTTTGAATTGAACTCTTCGTTGTTTACAACCATGAGTTTCCACCACTCATGACTGGGAGAGCGTGCCTGTTATGGAGAAGGGCTAGTTGTGGTTTGGCTTGGATGAGCCCGTTCGCCGCACTTTGCATACGGCTCAGACACGGCCGTGTCGCACGCGCGTGAGACGGTTGCTTTTGCCGCGTTGGATTGTTGTTGGGCCCCCTTCGTGGTTCTTGATCCCCGAACTTCATAGTAGTAGCGGAGCCTGAGTGGCGCGTGCCATGGTACGCCAGCAGCGTGATGGAGGCGTGATGGAGCGTCCTTGGAGCTCTTTCGGGAAGGTGGTGAAGGAGAAGGGATGCCGCTCCAGATGGGACGATCAGAGTCCTTAAAGGACAGGATCCAGGAGAGCAGGGGCCATATGGAGCAGCTAGCGGTTCAGAAGCCTTGGGGCCCCGAGAAGACCAAAAGAGACGTTCTAACTTTAAGACTTTATCTTGGGTTAAACGTTAGTTCCGGAAGAATTTTAGACTTGCGTCGGGTGGTTTTTTATGTTAAAGCTTGAAACTAAGATTTTTTCTAAGCTTGAAAAATACCCTTGAAAACCGAAAAAAGCCGATACATATAGGCATATATCCAACAAGCCTAGAACCCTCAGCGACGCAGTCAGTTGTGCCCACCAAACTTCTGACACGACTTCGGCTTGCCGACTCTCAACATGAATCTCAGCAAGACTTCGAACACGTTTCCAGGTCGTACTGTGATGTTTTTGTGTTTCCCTTTCCCCCGCCTTCCCAACACAGGCCTGCCTGTCAGGCCCGCCTATAATGCGCAACGTAACCCGGGCCGCTCAGCGCGACAACGCGCGTCAAATTTGCGCAATCTCCTGAAGATCGCTGAAAGCAAAAACAGCCTGCAGCCAGGAAACCTTTTGCGCTTTGAAACTGTTACTGAAGCACGTGCCCATAGTGAACCATAGCCACAAACCAAACCCACCTAACCAGCCTAAAAGCAGGTTGCACATGCGTCTCTCTCAACACGTTTCTCTACTCTCAGCAACTGTCAGCGAGCTCTTTGTTTCTTTCTTTCCTTCCTTCCTTCCTTCCTTCTTTCTTTCCTTCCTTCTTTCTTTCTTTCTTTCTTTCTTTCTTTTTTTTATTCCTTCCTTCCTTCCTTCCTTCCTTCTTCCTTTAGTTCCTTTTTTTCTTTCTTTCTTTCTTTCACTCTTTCTTTCTTTCTTTCTTGCTTTCTTTCTTTCTTCTTTCTTTCTTTCTTATTTCTTTCTTTCTTCTTTCTTTCTTTCTTTCTTTCTTTCTTTCTTTTCTTTCTTTCTTTCTTTCTTTCTTTCTTTCTTTCTTTCTTTCTTTCTTTCTTTCTTTCTGTCTCTCTTTCTTTATCCAGAATAGGCGAATTTCAGCAGACACGTGTTCTCTCCCATGGATACGCTTGACCAAAAAAGGACACTCTTGCAAGATCGCGCAAGAAAGAGCCGTTGCCAACCGCCAGAGATTGCTGAGGAACTCCTTAGCCTTGTTGAGGTAATGCAAGGTTACTTCTATTTGCCTTTTTGCTCTGCGTCGCTTGTCCTTGCCAGCAGCTTCTGTTCTTAAACGTGACAATTCTAGCGGGAAGGTTCTTGAAAGACTGAAGACTGCAAATCTTGCAGCGCCAGAGAATTCCCGTTAAAGCGCCCACAAAACCTTCACAGACAGGAGTTTGAGGGAGGCCTTGAGAGAGGAAAGCCTTGCAGAAGAGACTGTGTGTAGGCAACAAGACCGAAGCCAAAGATTTCTCAAGGTATTCGTCGGGAAGCTTTTGCAAGTTGCCTTTATCGACAAAGCACGGCCCCTGACACAGCAACTCCTTCAAGCGGGCAGCGTTCATTGGTTTTATGCAATAGGGCTTGAAAGCGAGCTGCTGCAGGCCTGGTCCAAAACCGGCCGCAGCTTCTTCGCGAGCTCGGCTTTCATGAGCTGACCGTTGGGCGTGGCGGAGGCCATGTTCACCCACACACTTTCAGCTTCAACACGCCTCGTCACCCAGGCCCTCGCTGTTGGCGCCGTTGCGGGAACATGGCGTGGCAACAAGACTCTCAACAAGACTTTCAGCAAGACGTCGTGGAGGTTCGGAGGACACAGGCAAGAATCTTTTCCTGGGCAAGGTGAAGCAAGACAGCCACCGTTTGCGCCAGGGAGCCACGGTTTTGCAAGACTTTGGTGGACGGCGCGTCGTCTCCCACGAGCTGCGCTTGCCTGTGGTGTTCTTGGCCCGTGTTAGCAAGCAACCGCAAAAGCACGCGTCCTGCGTGCCTTGAAGACGTAGAACTCGACGCCGTTCTGGTTGCCAGTCCTGTCTGACCTGCGCTAGGGAAACGTGTGGTTCCAGGCGCAGGTGCACCGAGAGGAGTCCGTGGTCGATGTCGCCGTCTCGGATTTGAATCTTGCCACGGCCTCTTCGAACACGTTGTCCTGAAAGACAAGAAAATCCTGCCACGGCCATCGCGCTCGACGGCGCATTTGATGATGGCGGTTTTCTCAGCGCGGCTGCCGCGCTCGACCATTTGCTTGATCGCCTCCGGCGGTTGGCTGAAGACGCGGGCCACGAAGCTTCTAGGCCTTGTCCTCCTCGCCAGCCGCTGTGTCCGCCTGCTCCTGGAGCCCAATCTGGGCCTTCGTTTGTGCCGGCAGCCAACTTCGCCTTTGGAAGCTGGCTTGGGCTTGGCGCCTCGTTTTGGCTTTGGCGCACGTCTGGCTGCTCGGGCAGCTTCGCGGCCTGTAATCATTTCACTTTTGCTCTTTTGCTTGGCCTTGGCCTTGGCGACCGTAGAGCCCTTGGCTTTCTTGCTGGGTGAGCCTGTGGCTGCAGGCTCACCGGCGTTGCGGGCACAACCTCAGCGGGGGCCTTGGCACCTGAAACCGCAAGAGCACTGTCAGGCAGGCTGTTTTCCTTTTTTTTTGGCTCTCTTGCTTGGCGGCTCCGTGGCTGCAGGCAAAACGATGCGAGCGGGTGAGCGAGCAATTTCTCTCAACAAGTTCTGTCAGCCAATTCTCTCAACCGGTTGTCTCCATTAAATAGGTCTAGACCAGTTCTCTCAACAAACCTTCTCACCAAACGCTCTTGGCAAGTCCTCTCCGCAACTCGGCGCACGAAGGGTGGCCGGCCACTGCCCGCTACGAACAAGCTTTGAAAAGCAGGAGCACGCTCGCGCAAAAAGGGCCCCCGAAGCAACACGGCTGCCGAGGCAGCGTCGCTGCGACGCAGCATGCTCGCGTCAGCATCCCTAGAAGCTCGTTTCTGGAAACACCCCGTAAAGATGACAGTTATAGTTGAGCCTGACGCAAGTCGCTCGCGGAACCAGTATAAGCCCGAAACAAGAAACCTTGTAGAAGCTTCTGAGCAGGCTTGAGGGATCACAGTTCAAGAGCTTTCTCGACGAGGCCCCTCAGCAAGGCCCCCTTGCAGAGTCGCAAACAACACGACGCTCGATGAGCGAGGCTCTCAACAAAAATCGTCTCCGCAAGACTCCCCTCAAGACTCTCAACAAAAAACTTCTCCTCCACTCAACAGAGAAGTTCCCAGCAAGACTTTCGTCAAGACTCTAAACCAACAGCTTCCCAACGCAACGCTGAACAAAGCTGCGAGCGAGACTCTCAGTAGCCAGTGCTCTCAGCCAAAATCTCAACAGAAAAGCAACGCGACGCCGAACAAAGCCGCGAGCGAGACTTTCAGAAACCTGGGCTCTCAGCAGGGCTCTCAGCAACACTCTCAGCAAATCCTCAGCAGGAAACATCGCGATGCGCTGCTGCACGATGTTGTGGGCTCGCAGAAACAGGTACTCTCAGCAAGACTCTCCACAAGAGTGTCAGCAAAAGCAGCACGACGCCGAACAAAACTGAGCCTTTTCGCAAACTCAACATTTGTAACGAAGATAAGACGTCAGAGAAGACGTTCTTGGGCGACGAGCTTCAGCGTGAGAAAAGGATGCAGGCTCAAGCTAAAGGCCAACGGAATGGAGCTGGAGCTGCGCTACTTTGACGAGACGGAGCATAAGGCTTTTGTGACCGGAAAGGATGGGCGACAAGGTAACGAAGAAGGTGCCGAAAGAGGACATCTTCCCCATCCCTCTGCGCATGGTGGTTGGCGGAGGAACTGCGGGCCAAGTCAAATTTGGTGGCGCCAAGACATACGGACCCTCAGCTTGGATCCTAGCGCGCAGTTGCCCCAACGGCGCAGCTCGTGCTCCTGAAAAGGATGCGCAGGCAAGGCTCTTGCTGCCCGCAGATGGCCATCCATCCCCAAACCTTCCCGCACCAAGCGAGGCCACCCAACTGCTGAAAAAGACGAGCCCGTTTGCCGGTCTGCCACAGCAGCAAATCGTGCAGCTGCACTCTGCTCGTAAAAGTCTGGAAGGAAGACGCCGCCCTTGTACAGGTTGCGCCGTCGCATCTCTTGCCAGAAGGGGTTGACAACATCAGGCGCGTCGAAGAAAGCTAGAAAAGGTGCTGCTAGCTGGTTCAAAGGAGGTGGCTGGCACTCCACATACGCCTTGAAAGCCAAGCCTGAAAGGCCCCACAAGTACATAACTGCACTGAGCGTGGAA